AATGATGTTCCTTCATGACATCAGAACGATATTCCTTCATGACATTAGAGTGATGATCCTTTATGACATCAGAGTGATGTTCCTTTATGACATCAGAGTGATGTTCCTTTATGACATGACATCAGAGTGATGTTCCTTTATGACATCAGAATGATGTTCCTTTATGACATCAGAGTGATGTTCCTTTAAAGTGATACATCAGAGTGATGATCCTTTATGATATCAGTGATGTTCCTTCATAACATCAGAATATTCCTGAATGACATCAGTGATGTTCCTTTATGACATCAAAATGATGTTACTTCCCGACATCAGAATGATGATCCTTTATAATATCAAAGACTGATGTTCCTTTATGACATCAAAATGATGTTACTTTCTGACATCAGAGTGATTTTCTTTTATGACATCAGAGTGATGATCCTTTATGACATCAGAATGATGTTACTTCCTGACATCAAAATGATGATCCTTTATGAAATCAAAGAATGATGTTCCTTTATGACATCAGAGTGATGATCCTGTATGACATAAGAATGATGTTACTTCCTGACATCAAAATGATGATCCTTTATGAAATCAAAGAATGATGTTCCTTTATTACATCAGAATGATGTTCCTTTATGACATCAGAGAGTGATCCTTTATGACATCAGAGTGATGTTCTTTTATGACATCAGAGTGATGATCCTTTATGGCATCAGAGTGATCCTTTATGACATCAGTGATGTTCTTTTATGACATCAGAATGATGATCCTTTATGATATCAGAGAATGATGTTCTTTTATGACATCAGAGTGATGATCCTTTATGACATCAGAGTGATCCTTTATGACATCAGAATGATGTTCTTTTATGACATCAGAGTGATGATCCTTTATGGCATCAGAGTGATGTTCATTTATGACATCAGAGTGATGATCCTTTATGACATCAGAGTGATGATCCTGTATGACATAAGAATGATGTTACTTTCTGACATCAGAGTGATTTTCTTTGATGACATCATCAAGTATAAAATACACATTTTTATACACCAATGATTTAATGAACCATAACAAAAACAAGGAAAGATATTTCTAAAGTATTACCTCTACTTCACTGATATGCCAGCCTTGTTAACATGAGTATCGGTGAAATTGATGAATGCTCCCAAAAAACGACTTTATTGGAAACACAATTTTAGCAATGAGTAGTAATCTTGTATTGAAAGATTTGCAGACACTGCCTTTGGTACACTGCACATTATAGTATGGCAAATGTATACATCCCTTAAATGAAAGCTTAGTTATGTTCCAGATACAAAAAGAGGGCAATAACACTGTAACTAAGAAAGTGCAGATCCTTCATTTGGTACGCTGTACATGGTCTTAGTAAAAACAAGGTAGAAACCAAATCTCATTAGTTAAAAGCAAAGTTATGTACCAGACAAGAAATTTAGACAACAGGCAATAACATTGCAATGAAGTGGTTGTGGTCCCTGACAAGTGATCTGTGGAACCAATGAATGTTCCTCAAACATCTTTATTAGAAATGAAATTTTGACGAAAGGAAATATCTCTAATTAAGGGGTTGCAAATTTATTTGGTACACAGCATATTGTCTTAGTACAAACAATTGGGTAAGGTTCTTGTAATGACATTTACAAGGCTTAAGTGACTATCATGTTCACATAAAGTTTCAATAAGAAATCCTATTAGTAAATCATTGCTAAAACAGAATAAGCATACAAGACGTAGAAATAACACAAAGTTAAAACCAATGAATTATTATCTAGTTTTTATGTTTTACAAATGTATGATGTTATCAATGGTTGTTTTTATTGTGTTGATATTTTAGCTATTTCAGAGGGCATTAAACCTTACCGCCAAAAAAACTAATTTGCAAAAATGATAGAATACATGTAAATTCCATACGTGATCAAAAGTGCTACATGAAACTGTTGTAATATCAGTACCATCTTTAGCCAACTCTGTAGTTATTTCAGGTATTTGCTTGAACAGCTTTAGATATTACTGTAATCAAGAGTTTATCAGTGAATGTAGATATTACTTTAATCAAGGGTTTATCAGAGAATTTAGATATTACTGTAATCAAGAGTTTGTGAGTGAATTCAGATATTACTGTAATCAAGAGTTTGTGAGAAACTTCAGATATTACTGTAATCAAGAGTTTATCAGATAATTTAGATATTACTGTAATCAAGAGTTTATGAGTGAATTTAGATATTACTTTAATCAAGAGTTTATCAGAGAATTTAGATATTACTGTAATCAAGAGTTTATCAGAGAATTTAGATATTACTGTAATCAAGAGTTTATCAGAGAATTTAGATATTACTGTAATCAAGAGTTTATGAGAGAATTTAGATATTACTGTAATCAAGAGTTTATGAGAAACTTCAGATATTACTTTAATCAAGAGTTTATCAGAGAATTTAGATATTACTGTAATCAAGAGTTTATCAGCGAATTTAGATATTACTGTAATCAAGAGTTTATCAGAGAATTTAGATATTACTGTAATCAAGAGTTTATGAGAAACTTCAGATATTACTTTAATCAAGAGTTTATCAGATAATTTAGATATTACTGTAATCAAGAGTTTATCAGCGAATTTAGATATTACTGTAATCAAGAGAATTTAGATATTACTGTAATCAAGAGTTTATGAGAAACTTCAGATATTACTGTAATCAAGAGTTTATGAGGAACTTCAGATATTACTGTAATCAAGAGTTTGTGAGTGAATTCAGATATTACTGTAATCAAGAGTTTGTGAGAAACTTTAGATATTACTGTAATCAAGAGTTTATCAGAGAATTTAGATATTACTGTAATCAAGAGTTTATCAGAGAATTTAGATATTACTGTAATCAAGAGTTTATGAGAAACTTCAGATATTACTGTAATCAAGAGTTTATCAGAGAATTTAGATATTACTGTAATCAAGAGTTTGTGAGTGAATTCAGATATTACTGTAATCAAGAGTTTGTGAGAAACTTTAGATATTACTGTAATCAAGAGTTTATGAGAGAATTTAGATATTACTGTAATCAAGAGTTTATCAGAGAATTTAGATATTACTGTAATCAAGAGTTTATGAGAGAATTTAGATATTACTGTAATCAAGAGTTTATGAGAAACTTCAGATATTACTGTAATCAAGAGTTTATGAGAGAATTTAGATATTACTGTAATCAAGAGTTTATCAGAGAATGTAGATATTACTGTAATCAAGACTTTATCATAGAATTTAGATATTACTGTAATCAAGAGTTTATCATAGAATTTTGATATTACTGTAATCAAGAGTTTATCATAGAATTTAGATATTACTGTAATCAAGAGTTTATCAGTGAATTTAGATATTACTGTAATCAAGAGTTTATGAGAGAATTTAGATATTACTGTAATCAAGAGTTTATGAGAGATTTTAGATATTACTGTAATCCAGAGTTTATCAGAGAATTTAGATATTACTGTAATCAAGAGTTTATGAGAGAATTTAGATATTACTGTAATCAAGAGTTTATGAGAGAATTTAGATATTACTGTAATCAAGAGTTTATGAGAGAATTTCAGATATTACTGTAATCAAGAGTTTATGAGAAACTTCAGATATTACTGTAATCAAGAGTTTATGAGAGAATTTAGATATTACTGTAATCAAGAGTTTATGAGAAACTTCAGATATTACTGTAATCAAGAGTTTATGAGAAACTTCAGATATTACTGTAATCAAGAGTTTATCAGTGAATGTAGATATTACTGTAATCAAGAGTTTATCAGAGAATTTAGATATTACTGTAATCAAGAGTTTATGAGTGAATTTAGATATTACTGTAATCAAGAGTTTATCAGATAATTTAGATATTACTGTAATCAAGAGTTTATGAGTGAATTTAGATATTACTGTAATCAAGAGTTTATCAGAGAATTTAGATATTACTGTAATCAAGAGTTTATGAGAAACTTCAGATATTACTGTAATCAAGAGTTTATCAGTGAATGTAGATATTACTGTAATCAAGAGTTTATCAGAGAATTTAGATATTACTGTAATCAAGAGTTTATGAGTGAATTTAGATATTACTGTAATCAAGAGTTTATCAGATAATTTAGATATTACTGTAATCAAGAGTTTATGAGTGAATTTAGATATTACTGTAATCAAGAGTTTATCAGAGAATTTAGATATTACTGTAATCAAGAGTTTATGAGAGAATTTAGATATTACTGTAATCTAGAGTTTATGAGAGAATTTAGATATTACTGTATTCCAGAGTTTATCAGAGAATTTAGATATTACTGTAATCAAGTATTTATGAGAGAATTTAGATATTACTGTAATCAAGAGTTTATGAGTGAATTTAGATATTACTGTAATCAAGAGTTTATCAGATAATTTAGATATTACTGTAATCAAGAGTTTATGAGTGAATTTAGATATTACTGTAATCAAGAGTTTATCAGAGAATTTAGATATTACTGTAATCAAGAGTTTATCAGAGAATTTAGATATTACTGTAATCAAGAGTTTATCAGAGAATTTAGATATTACTGTAATCAAGAGTTTATCAGAGAATTTAGATATTACTGTAATCAAGAGTTTATCAGATAATTTAGATATTACTGTAATCAAGAGTTTATGAGAGAATTTAGATATTACTGTAATCAAGAGTTTATCAGATAATTTAGATATTACTGTAATCAAGAGTTTATCAGAGAATTTAGATATTACTGTAATCAGGAATTAATTTTAGGTTTTAATTTGTTTATTGATTTCATGTATTTTTCTATAAAGGGAAGTGTTTCCTTGCAAACTTCCTCAAAAAGTAATTTTGTATAATACATATATGTAGATAAATAATCTTTAGCAGCCAAATAAAAAATGTCACTGAAATGATAAAAGACAATTAACATTGTGTCTTGTTCAATTGAACATGGATTTACTGAAGATGATAATTCTAAAGACATCTCAAAACACAGAACTTGAATCAGTTGAATGTATCAGCTATAAATTTCGTTCTGTATCCCAGGTTTTCACGTAGATGTTGCTGCTCACTACGGCTGAATCCAATTGATTCCAAGTAGTTTTCCACAGAACCATACCTATAAGTATTAATATCAAAATTTGTTTGTTTTTAAAATGAATTTCCTTTTTACAAGTTTTCCTTTTTTTCAGGATCTCCCCTGAATGGAAATATAACATGGAAAAAAAAACCTAAGCTGGTCTTTAAGGTGAGGAATGCAACCTTGATTTATGGTGACTAAAACTCTGAATACAATTTCTTGAAAAAAACAAGAAGCCCACGAGATTTAACGGTCATCTGACTACAAAACCTTTCAGCAGGGAGAAGGTTATTTTTTCTACTTTGAATGAAACGTTACCAAGAATATTTTTTTCAAGATGGTGGCAATCTTGGATTTCAGACCTACCCGAAAAATAACAACACTTGTTCAGAAATAAGTTTGAGCTCAATTCCACTGGTGGAACATAACAAGAAGTTTAAAATGTCAAAAGTTTGCCCTCGGCAGAAAACGACTGACGAAGCATGATGGCTATAAGTCATCATGACTAATTGGGTCAGATGACCTAAAAACAAAAGAAAAAAAGGTTTGGTTTATGGAAATAGATAACAACTGACTGAAATACTAGCAATATTTTATGCTTAGAAATACATTTATGACATTGGCTTTCAAAGGATTCAAATTGGACCACATTACAAACTGTTACTTATGTTACTCAAATTCAATACTGTTTGTACTTAGGCATCTTATAACAGTTTGATCTGATCAATTCACTCGGTCTAAGAGCAAAGCAAGTCAATTTACTTATATGAAAATAACAAATATCATTTTCAAAAAATTTCCACATTCACTAAAATCAGCTGCAATTACAATCAAATTGTGTTTGAAGTTTTGTCAATTTTTGACCTTTGACTTTTTAAAATATGCATGAATGTTGTGACGTATCATGACAAATTCCAATTGTTGAAAGAAAGCTACATAGTCATTTCATTGATAAATGTTGAAGTTCTTATCTTGATACTTTACAAACTTTTTTATCATCAGTGAAGGTCTTCATATAAGACTCACTTGTCATTGATGTGTTTGAGAGCAGTTTTTAAAGTTCCCTGCTTAGCATACAGGAACGACTCATCAAAGCTGAATCTTTTGATGATTTCATCATGAAGTCGTGGTTTTATTGCCGCCAGCTCCTTCTATAAAATTCATTATGGAAGAACAAAAGTATATATATCAATTAACTATACAATCACAACATACAAACAATAAAGATTTGTTACATACTGGTATTACTATCCTGCTAAGAAATGCAGTAACACTAGGATAGGCATCAATCTCACTTCAAGGAACTCCACCTATACAGTTATAATGTATGTTTCTCAGCCCAAGATAGGCATCAATCTCTCTTCAAGGAACTCCACCTATACAGTTATCATGTATGTTACTTAGCGTGATTTCACCCTGATCCGACATTCCATCCTGATCTGACATTCCGTCCTGATCTGACATTCCATCCTGATCTTACATTCCATCCTGATCTGACATTCCATCTTGATCTGACATTCCATCCTGATCTGACATTCCATCTTGATCTGACATTCCATCCTGATCTGACATTCCATCCTGATCTGACATTCCATCTTGATCTGACATTTAACCCTGATCTCACATTCCATCTTGATCTGACATTCCATCCTGATCTCACATTCCATCTTGATCTGACATTTAACCCTGATCTAACATTCCATTCTGATCTGAAATTCCATCTTAATCTGACATTTAACCCTGATCTCACATTCCATCCTGATCTGACATTCCATCTTGATCTGACATTCCATCCTGATCTGACATTCCATCTTGATCTGACATTTAACCCTGATCTAACATTCCATTCTGATCTGAAATTCCATCTTAATCTGACATTTAACCCTGATCTCACATTCCATCCTGATCTGATATTCCATCCTGATCTGACATTCCATCTTGATCTGACATTCCATCCTGATCTGATATTCCATCCTGATCTGACATTCCATCTTGATCTGACATTCAATCTTGATCTGACATTCCATCCTGATCTGACATTCCATCTTGATCTGACATTCCATCCTGATCTGACATTCCATCCTGATCTTACATTTCACAATTCTGACTACTGATCAACATTTTCTGACTATTCATAACCCTGATTATACATTTCATCATATCTTTATCAGACATTTTGTTACCCTGAGCAGACAATTCATTACCTTGATCTGACATTTCATTACCCAATCTGACAATTCATTACTCAGATCTGACATTTCATTACCCAGTTCTGACAATTCATTACCCACATCTGACAATTCATTACCCAGATCTGACATTTCATTACCCAGATCTGACAATTTATTACTCAGATCTGACAATTCATTACCCAGATCTGACATTTCATTACCCAGTTCTGACAATTCATTACCCAGATCTGACAATTAATTACCCAGATCTGACATTTCATTACCCCAATTTGAGGTTTTTTAATGTAAAACCAATTTTCATGATGTAATACTTACCATAACTGTAGTATGCAAATACAGTACCTACACCCATCTTTGTATCCCAACAACAAAAGATTCAAAAGAAAAACAATCCCGCCCTTTCTACCATCTATGAGCCATCACGGCAGGAACGCAGAGTGATCTCCCTTCCTCTTATAACCTTTATGGCATACCCCACAGAGGGGCAGCCAGGCAGATAAGGAAGAGGGGAGGATAGGGTGGGACTCCATAAAGTTATGGTAAGTATTACATCATGAAAATTGGTTTTACATTAAAAAACCTTAATTTCATTTCAGTAATAATCACCATAACTTTAGTATGCGAATTCGTCTTACCGTAGTGGTGACTAGAAGCCAGGCAGCCCTTTCAGCACAACCAAAGTAGTAGAACAGAGTGCCAAAGAGAAGGAAGGGACCTCTCCGTGAAAGAGCAGGTGTACCTACATGCCGCTGTACGGAAAGACATGCCCAGGGGCTAACAAGGAGGCCCAGTCACAGACTATGCCACCACCGAAGGTCCCAATGAATACAGGCCTTCTGAGTGGGAAGCTAGGGATCGCAGATAAAAATCTGTGAAGGTATCCCTGCCCTGCCAGAATGCTGCAGACATGACCTCCTGAAAGGAGGACCCATTGAGAGAAGGGCCCAGGATGAAGCAAGGGCCCTGACCTCGTGAGACCGCGCTTTCGCTCTCGCCCGAGCCAGATCATCAAAATGCTCGTAAGCATACTAAATCACCTGGCAAACCCACCTGGAAACCGACTGGGAGTAGATTTCTCGTTGTCCCTGTTTGATGGGCAAAAACAGACAGAATCGAGAGCCCCGCCCCCTGGTTTTATCAAGATAAAACCTAAGAGCCTGACAAGGACAAAGCAACCTATCTCGCTCCTCCGAGCTAGTCACAGCCAGGATCCTGATGGGATCGGGCGAGAACCCCGGAACCTGATGCTTCGCTAAAAACAACTCTATCCAGAGCAAAGCCTCTGATTAGGGCAGAAAGAGAGGAGGACTAACCTATCTCCTTCCTGCCATAACAAGTAAGAACTCTGGCAATAGCTGTACGATAGCCAGCAATAGTGCCAGGTGGCAGATAGCGGTACCTAAACAGAGAGATTAGGAAGTCCGCAATCAAATGCAGAGGCTTCGAACGAATAAGCCTCCTTGCCGACACACCAATCACAGAAGATCATCCAACGTGACTGGCAGACGGCAGAAGAGGAAGCCCTGATTGATCGCTCAATGCAATCTGACACCTCTTGAGAAAAGCCTGCCTTGGCGTGGCTTCCAGAGATAGCCTCAACGCGTGAAGGTGGAGGATCTTTGGTCAAGAGTGTGTCGTTCTGGGCCAAGGCTGGCAAAGGAGATTCGGTCTGGTCGGGAGAGCCAAGGGCTCTTCTACCAGAAACGACAAGAGCTCCTGAAACCAAGCTTGCAAGGAGCAGTGATGCTCCCAGAACTTCTGTAGCACCCTGCCCACCAGGTTGAAGGGAGGGAATGCATATGCATACGTCCCTTCCCAGTCCAGAGAAACGGCGTCCACAGCCCACATCTTACGGTCTGGGACCGGGGAGACGAAGGTTAGCAGAGCTGGTTGTTCAGGGAAGTGGCAAACAGGTCTATAATAGGTCTGTCCCACGCCTGACAATTCCCCTTGAAAATCAAGGGACACAGCTGCCATTCCGTCAACACCGGCTGGCAGCGCCTGGAGAGTGTCCACCAACACATTCAGCCTGCCAGGAAGATGCTTGACCACTATGGTCAACTGCATGTCCTGGCAGAGAAGAAGGATGCGGATGGAGAGGGCATCTCGAGTACACTAATGTGCTCCGAGAGCTGTTCGCCAGACCACTCCCCTGAGCGGCATTGGCCGTCGAGGTAAGCTCCCATTCCTGTCATGAACGCATCCATGAACAGGATCATAGAGGGGATAGGCTTGGTCAGAGGCAACCCGTGGAAAACGTTCTCCTAAATGGTCCACCAGCAAGAGAACTCCCTGACCGACTGGGTAAGCGGGATCCAGGCCTCCTGGATGATGGAACCCAGTTGGACAGGAGGAACACCTGGAGAGGTCTGATGTGAAGCCTCCCTAGGGGGGACCACATCTGCCAGGGAGTTGAAATACCCCAGAAAACTGAGGAACCAATATACCTGGACAAGTGAGGTGGAAGGGCTAAGCCGCGAACCATGTCAAAATGGTTCCCCAGGAAGACGAAGTCCTAAGATGAAGGAACCTCTGACTTCTCTCTGGAAGGAATGAAGCTGACTCTGAGCAAGAGTTTCAGGACCAGACGAGTGTCCTTCACTAGCGATTCCCACACCAAAAGAGGCATGAGGGAGTCGTCGAAATAGATGTGGACGTCTATTCTGCGTGAGTGAAGGAAACCACCTGCAGCAACTTGGTGAACACCAAAGGAGCTGTCGTGAGCCCAAAGGGCATCGCTGCCTTGGCAGCATGGTCCCTACTTCCTCCTGGAGCACCCGAGCCCTTTCCGAATCCCCTGGAGGAGGAAAGAAAAAACGGCCAGGAGGCGAATGACGGATCCTGAAGAAGGGGAATACCTAGACCTTCCCTGACCACCGACAAAAGCCCAAGCGTCATCCGTAATATCCTGCCACTGGGGAAGGAAAGCAGAGAGACGTCCGCCCACAGGGAGTTCCGGATGGGGCAGATCGAGCCCCTGCCAGACCAGCGAATCATCTGCCCACCCAGAGCCTGCAGGAGAAGGACATGAGCCTGGAACAGAAGAACCGCCGTCCACCCGGCCATACCCTTCGCCTTTCGCGGCCAAGAAGCAGAAATAGTCAGGAACCCTTCTTCTTGCCCCCAGGATGTTTCTTACCCTTCCTACCCTTCCCCTTGTTGCCGTTGAAGTGAGGCTGGGACTTGGGCTGTGCAGAAAACTGAGCAGCCGAAGACTTTACCTTCTTCTTAAGAGGCGCTGACCCCTGCGAGGCACTGGCCTTCTCAGCCTGAAACCTCTTCACCAGAAGAGCTGAGGCGACAGAGTCCTCCTTCATATCCTTCTGAACCCAAGGAAGTGCTCCCCTGAACAGGGTAGAGCCCTAGAAGGGAGCAATCAACAAGCGGAAACAGTAGGGTTACTGGACTGGGCTGAATTTCAGAACTGAAAACCACCTAGCCAACACAGCATTGACGGGCAGAGAAACCTGCAAGGCTGCCGTGTCCTGTATGTCGGCTGTTCTGTCTCGGATAACCAACACTCAGGCAAATCGGATACCCTGTATAGACAAACTGTCAGGAAGTCTATGTATGACAGAACTTGGATGGAGAGGTGCAACATTCTCTCCATCCTGTGGTGCTCTTTGGGATCGCGCACCACCTGGTCCACTGATTTGCCGTGCCAGGCAGCCAGCTGTCTCAACTCCAGCTGTGCTGGTTGAGAGGCCAGCTGCCCATCATGTGTGGCAAATCACCAACACTGAGCTGCAGACCGGCAAACCCGGGAGCGCGGGTAGAGGAGGAGTCCTTCTCTAGAACCGGAGCCCGGGCCTTGGCCAGAACCGAAGACATGATAGTGCCTTCTGGCAGAGACCGTTCTGAGCGAAGGGAAGCCCGAGGAGCCACCAGGGAACCCAGAAGGATGGTTGATTCAGGCGCCGACGATGCTGAGGCGGTGGGCAAACCTCCGCCCTGAGAATCTGGGAGATGTTGGCCTGGAGGACCCGCATCCCCGAAAGTACATGCTGAGCCTCGGCTTCAGCAGTTTCAGGGCCATCTTCCCCTTGGGAACCCTCTTGACCCAGGAGAAAGATGAATGACATCGTCTTCCTCTGCCGAACCAGCACCCTCGACGTCCATCTCTCTCAATTTGGACTGAAGTCCCCTTGGGAGGAACAGGGGCCGCCAGAGGAGCCATCTCCGGAGAGGGGAACTCCTCTATATGGCATTTAGACGCAGCGCATCTAACAGCTGTAGCTGTAGGCTTGGGTCAGAGACCCGAAGCCGACCCCTGGGAACAGGAGACTGAAGGGTCCGCGCTGGAGGCGGAAGTCCTTAAGGTCCAGCAAACCTTTACAGGACAAGGCCCCCGAAGTAGCAGAACATTGGGAGGATTTCGCACTGCTATAACATCTCCTAGAGGAGAGACCAACCCCTATGGGTTCCACGAGTGAAGACCCATGGGGTAAAACCCAAACACCTGAGGGAATGGGAACAGTCCAGCGGGGCGGGAGTGACCCCAGAACTGGCTAAGATGGTCTGCCCTAGTCTGGGGCTGGACACCCTGTCCAAAGAACCAGGATGAACCACCACTCCCACCAGGTGGAAACTCAGACATGTACGGGCTAAGCCCATAACTGCTGAGTAACTGTTGGTACCCAAAACCATCCGCAGGTTGGCCTGGGCGACCCAGGAATAAGTGCCAGCAGGCACCCTTGTTCCCTGAGCCCGGGGGAAAGGGAGACCGGAAACCGGATTCCTAGCCTGAAGCCCCAAACCCTTGTGGGAAACCCCCCTGGGAAACCCTGCACTGGGAAATCTGGACTGGGGCGGAAAGTCCTAGAGCCAGAAGCCTGTGAGGGTGGGAAAACAGAGCCCACGCTGACACCGGGATTAGTGAACTCAAGTCTCAGACGATCCTGACAAAAAGTCTGTGGAACCTGACCCTATACCCGAAGGCACAGTTCCGGAGTCAAAGCGGCCCCCACCAACGACCCCCCCCATCCCCCATCATTGAAACAATAAAAAATCGTAACAATGAAAACAAGGACAACAAAGTTTTCTAACAATCAAAAAACTACAAATGAGAGCATAAGGCCTACCATACGCAGCAAGATTGCGCTGCAAAAAAGAAAATGGTTGTACAAAACAGCCTACACAGCAGCAAGAAAACAAATTCCAACTTCACGAAAATCCGAGTGACGAGACAAGTAGTCACGCACTCGAACACGTGGAGGAAAAACACGGCCGGAAACGAAGTTCTCGAACAATCAAAAAACTATGAACGAGAGCACAAAGCCTACCATACGCAGCAAGATTGCACTGCATAAATAAAACGGTCGTACAACACGGCCAACAAAGCAGCAAGAAAACAAATTCCAACTTCACGCAAATCCGAGCAACGAGACAAGTAGTCACGCACTCGAATACGTGGAGGAAAAAACGGACAGAAATACGGTCAAAATAAACAAATGACAATACTTAATTTCACAATATAAGTTGGGAGATGTGTTTATAGAACACTTATAGAGTAACAATATACTCAAACGACAATGGCAGTATGAAGAGAAGGAGTAAGAAAAGCACTTAGCTCAGACACCTCCGCACTCGTCGGCAGCCATAAAGGTAAGAGGAAGGGAGATCACTCTGCGTTCCTGCCGTGATGGCTCATGGATCGTAGGGAGGGCGGGATTGTTTTTCTTTTGAATCTTTTGTTGTTGGGATACAAAGATGGGTGTAGTTACTGTATTTGCATACTAAAGTTATGGTAATTATTACTGAAATGAAACTGACATTTCATTTTCCTAATCAGACAATTCATTACCCAGATCTGACATTTCATTACCCTGATCAGACATTTCATTACCCTGATCAGACAAATCATTACCCTGATCAGACAATTCATTACCCTGATCAGACAATTCATTACCCAGATCTGACATTTCATTACCCTGATCAGACATTTCATTATCCTGATCAGACAATTCATTACCCTGATCAGACATTTCATTACCCTTATCTACCCTGATCTGACATTTCATTACCCTGATCAGACAATTCATTACCCAGATCTGACATTTCATTACCCTGATCTGACAATTCATTACTCAGATCTGACATTTCATTACCCTGATCAGACAATTCATTACCCTGATCTGACATTTCATTACCCTGATCTGACATTTCATTACCCTGATCAGACAATTCATTACCCTGATCAGACAATTCATTACCCTGATCAGATAATTCATTATCCAGATCTGACATTTCATTACCCTGATCAGACAATTCATTACCCAGATCTGACATTTCATTACCCAGATCAGACATTTCATTACCCTGATCAGACATTTCATTACCTTCATCTGACATTTCATTACCCTGATCAGACAATTCATTACCCTGATCTGACATTTCATTACCCTGATCAGACATTCATTACCCTGATCAGACATTTCATTACCTTCATCTGACATTTCATTACCCTGATCAGACAATTCATTACCCTGATCAGACATTTCATTACCCTGATCTGACATTTCATTACCCTGATCAGACATTTCATTACCCTGATCTGACATTTCATTACCCTGATCAGACAATTCATTACCCTGATCAGACATTTCATTACCCTGATCAGACAATTCATTACCCTGATCAGACATTTCATTACCCTGATCAGACAATTCATTACCCTGATCAGACAATTCATTACCCAGATCAGACAATTCATTACCCTGATCAGACATTTCATTACCCTGCTCAGACATTTCATTACCCTGATCAGACATTTCATTACCCTGATCTGACATTTCATCACCCTGATCAGACAATTCATTACCCTGATCAGACATTTCATTACCCTGATCAGACATTTCATTACCCTGATCAGACATTTCATTACCCTGATCAGACAATTCATTACCCTGATCAGACAATTCATTAACCTGATCTGACATTTCATTACCCTGGTCAGTCTCTACTTCCCTGAAGATAACCATCTAAGCCATGGACTGACAACTAATTCTATAGTGGAAGGCATCATCATTTTTTTTGACAATTTCTTAAACTAAACTGTCAGACTTTAGCTTTAAAATTCAGATGAATAAAGATTATAAGTTCATATACATGTAGAATGTGTATTAGTTTTATTAAGAGCATTGCTCTCGGGCAAATGTGGTGCTTAGGTGTAGCACTTTTAAAAACTAAATTATGGGAATGAAATAAGAGACTTGACATACTTACCTCCCTTCCCATATGTGTTGCCATCATTTTGTGATGGTCAAAAACTGGAAGCTGCATTCCATTGAGAAATAATCTCCAAGCAAGTGGAGAAACTGCGGCAAACTATAGTTTTGATATTTTCACAGTCAAAGCATTTGAATCCCTATCAGCATATTATTGTCACTTCAGCCCATTCAGTAATTACACATATGTAAGTAAGCAAATGCTACACTTTATTCAAGGCTCTGCTTTTTTACATATTAAAGATGATGACATTTTTTCTCAGTGTATTACCTCTGACATAGTATAATCCTCAATGACATTTTCTATTGTCTCGCCGAGTAATAGGAGGATCAAAGCTGAGGTGATTCCAGTACGGTCTTTTCCATGGGCACAGTTTATGAGAGCTGGCAGGTTCTCCTTCTTTGTCAGGAGCTTCAAAGCTGGAAATAACATTTAATTCAATAGGATTGTATAGGATATATTATGGATGCAGGCCATAGGCCTCTATATCTATATCAGTACATACAACACATTACATTTTTAGGATACTTCCTGTATCAATGAGCAACATTTAAACTAAAAATTGAAAGTTATGTTATTATGGCTACAATATTCATCTAGACTGATTTCAAACTTAATGACATCATATGAATCTGTTACATCCTAAGGGAGACTGTTCCACTACTCATATCGCACTGAAACATATTGCTAATCACTCTAGGATCACAAAAGTTTTTTACAATCTTGAATGCATTTATTAGGTCTCCTCGCGTGCTTCAGGGTTGGTAAATTTAGTCTCTGCAAGCGCCCTGTATATGTCATGTTTTTAAAACCAGGTATCATCTTGGTAGCTTGCCTCTGGACTTTTTCAATTAGATCAATATATTTACTCATATAGGGATTCCATACACTGAAGGAATGTTCTGACATATTTCATTATAATAGAATATTAAATCATTTGTAGTTGAGATGATAATCAATTTCTTTTTGCTGAAACATTCTTGAATATTCAGAATTTGACATTGACCTTTTTAATGAAGCATCAGCTGAAGTCTCCTTATATCCAATTTTAGAGAGACCTCAAAATATATAGGGGAACCACCAAGGGAGAAAATTTGAAAATCAAAGCATTATTAATACATGTTCTTTTTGAACTTAAGTTAACATTCATTTGCAAATATTTCTACGTCTATAGTATATATTTAGAATTCATAAAGCCCCTTCCATAGACATTGTAAATAACTAAGAAATTAAGGAGGGTTCAGACTTATATCTTCAACCACTTTTAACTTTCTACTCAGTCAAATGGGGCTGAATAGGGCAAACAATGTACGGTATATTGAACTGCACCTATAATGTAGTCAGTAGTCCAAATTATTCCGAAATTCCATTAATTTTTTTAAGTTGGTCTGGATACAGTAGATTGAATTAGGTACTAACCAATAAAACATCAGAAGATATATACACTGACCAATAAAACATCAGAACAATATATACACTGACCAATAAAACATCAGAACAATATATACACTGACCAATAAAACATCAGAACAATATATACACTGACCAATAAAATATCAGAACAATATATACACTGACCAATAAAATGAACAATATGTACACTGACCAATAAAATGAACAATATATACACTGACCAATAAAATGAACAATATATACACTGACCAATAAAATGAACAATATATACACTGACCAATAAAATGAACAATATGTACACTGACCAATAAAATGAACAATATGTACACTGACCAATAAAATGAACAATATATACACTGACCAATAAAATGAACAATATATACACTGACCAATAAAATGAACAATATGTACACTGACCAATAAAATGAACAATATGTACACTGACCAATAAAATGAACAATATATACACTGACCAATAAAACATCAGAACAATTTGGACTATGTAGTAAGAGTGATATATCTCTGACGAATCAAAAAGAAATAAAATAAAAAATACAGATTGATAAATAACAACTGTGAGACTAGCTCTAACAATTCCCCATTCTCTTCGTCATTACCTGCACAAATGCTAGTCTGACTTAACTCCAAGATATCAATGTAGGTCCCGGCTAGTCCTGCTGGATTTAGTACAAAATATGCAAACAATCGCACCAAGTAGTAGAAATGTGTCCGGAATATCACATCAAAGAGAAAGACAAAAACTGACAAGATTTTCGCATACCAGGGTGCTCTTTTGATTATGCTAATTATATATTCCTTCTCATAGAAATTTATCAAATAATGATTACGTGCGCTTGAACCATTCTCATTTCTCATCAAGTCCCTGTTTACAGTATATGAAACTTCTTCTGCTGGTCTGTAATTTCGTTTTTTCGGTAAGTCAACAATGCATGTCGTATACAAGCCTTTTTTCTGTAAGTATTTGTTTCCGTCAACGAACAAAAACTCCTGGTGAGAACGTAAGTCGATAATGCTGTTGATTCCCAAATCCATGAACTCTTCGACTTCGTCTGCATGGAGCAAATCTGGTCGAGATGACCGAAACAAAAATCGTTTGCATTCAATCCCATTCTGCGCTCCAACTGGTCGAAAATTGTGTATGGAAGTGATCTGTCGGAATTGAAAATGCTTCTGAAGTTTGGTAGGCGTGATACCATTAGATAATGTTGCGGTAGCCATTTTACAGAATACTTCCGGCTCAAGTGAAAGTAGGGGATGGCCAAAAATCTAATACGTCTAATGGACAAACTACTAGATACAAGCGCGTAGGTACCGACAATACTTTATCGCTTATATAAGCCTGATACAATGTATTACCCTTCTGGTAGACTTACGCAAGTCATTTTATACAGCAGAGAAAAACAATAACTAATACCGGTGTACGAGATGCTCACAGAACGGTTAGAAAAAAAAACAGAGGATATATAAGACACTTCCATTAGACGATTAGAAACAATAACTAAGGATATATAGGGGATGTACATTAGACGTATAGAAACAATAACTAAGGATATATAGGGGATGTCCATTAGACGTATAGAAACAATAACTAAGGATATATAGGTGATGTCCATTAGACGGATAGGAACAATAACTAAGGATATATAGGGGATGTCCATTAGACGGATAGGAACAATAACTAAGGATATATAGGTGATGTCCATTAGACGGATAGGAACAATAACTAAGGATATATAGGGGATGTCCATTAGACGGATAGGAACAATAACTAAGGATATATGGGATATGTCCATTAGGAAGATAGGAACAATAACTTAGGATATTTAGGGGATGTCCATTAGACGGATAGGGACAATAACTAAGGATATATAGAGGATGTCCATTAGGCGGATAGAAAAAAATAACTAAGGATATATAGGGAATGTCCATTAGACGGATAGGAACAATAACTAAGGATATATAGGGGATGTCCATTAGGCGGATAGGAACAATAACTAAGAATATATAGGGGATGTCCATTAGACGGATAGGAACAATAACAAAGGATATATAGGGGATGCCCATTAGGTGGATAGGAACAATAACTAAGGATATTTTGGGGATGTCCATTAGACGTATAGGAACAATAACTAAGGATATATAGGGGATGTCCTTTAGGGAGAGAGGAACAATAACTAAGGATATATAGGGGATGTCCATAAGATGGATAGGAACAATAACTAAGAATATATAGGGGATTTAAATTAGGCGGATAGGAACAATTACTAAGGATATATAGGGGATGTCCATTAGACGGATAGGAACAATAACTAAGGATATATAGGGGATGTCCATTAGGCGGATAGTAACAATAACTAAGGATATATAGGTGTTGTCCGTTAGGCGGATAGGAACAATAACTAAGGATATATAGGGGATGTCCATTAGGCGGATACAAACAATTACTAAGGATATATAGGGGATGTCCATTAGCGGAGAGGAACAATGACTAAGGATATATAGGGAATGTCCACTAGACGGATAGGAACAATAACTAAGAATATATAGGGGATGTCCATTAGATGGATAGAAACAATAACTAAAGATATATAGGGGATGTCCATTAGACGGATAGGAACAATAACTAAGAATATATAGGGGATGTCCATTAGACGGATAGGAACAATAACTAAGGATATATAGGGGATGTCTATTAGACGGATAGGAAACATAACTATGTTATAGGGGTTGTCCGTTAGACGGATTGAAACAATACCTAAGTATATATAGGAGATGTCCATTAGACGGATAGGAACAATAACTAAGAATATATAGGGGATGTCCATTAGATAGATAGAAACAATAACTAAAGATATATAGGGGATGTCCATTAGACGGATAGGAACAATAACTAAGAATATATAGGTAATGTCCATTAGGCGGATAGGAACAATAACTAAGAATATATAGGGGATGTCCATTAGACGGATAGACACAATTACTAAGAATATATAGGGAATGTCCATTAGACGGATAGGGACAATAACTAAGAATATATAGGGGATGTCCATTAGACGGATAGGGACAATAACTAAGGATATATAGGGGATGTCCATTAGGCGGATAGGAACAATAACTAAGAATATATAGGGGATGTCCATTAGATAGATAGAAACAATAACTAAAGATATATAGGGGATGTCCATTAGACGGATAGGAACAATAACTAAGGATATATAGGGGATGTCCATTAGACGGATAGGAACAATAACTAAGAATATATAGGGGATGTCCATTATGCGGATAGGAACAATAACTAAGGATATATAGGGGTTGTCCATCAGACGGATAGGAACAATAACTAAGGATATATAGGTAATGTTCATTAGGCGGATAGGAACAATAACTAAGAATATATAGGGGATGTCCATTAGGCGGATAGGAACAATAACTAAGGATAGATAGGGGATGTCCATTAGGCGGAAGGAACGAAATCAAAGGATATATAGGGGATGTCGATTAGGCGGATATATGGAATGTCCGTTAGGCGGATAGGAACAATAACTAAGAATATATAGGGGATGTCCATTAGATGGATAGAAACAATAACTAAAGATATATAGGGGATGTCCATTAGACGGATAGGAACAATAACTAAGAATATATAGGGGATGTCCATTAGATGGATAGAACACAAAGATATATAGGGGATGTCCATTAGAGATATATAGGATATATAGGATGTCCATTAGGATGTAACTAAGGATATATGGGGGATGTCCATTAGGCGGATAGGAACAATAACTAAGGATATATAAGTGATGTCCATTACGGGGATAGTAACAAGAATTCAGGATATAGGGGATGTCCATTTGGCGATAGGAACAATAACTAAGAATATTTTGGGGATGTCGATTAGACGGATAGGAACAATAATTAAGGATATATAGGGGATGTCCATTAGGCGGATAGGAACAATAACTAAGAATATATAGGGGATGTCCATTAGACGGATAGGAACAATAACTAAGGATATATAGGGGATGTCCATTAGGCGGATAGGAACAATAACTAAGAATATATAGGGGTTGTCCATTAGACGGATAGGAACGATAACTAAGAATATATAGGGGATGTCAATAACTAAGAATATATAGGGGATGTCCATTAGGCGGATATATAGGGGATGTCCATTAGACGGATAGGAACAATAACTAAGAATATATAGGTGATGTCCATTAGGCGGATAGGAACGATAACTAAGAATATATAGGGGTTGTCCATTAGACGGATAGGAACAATAACTAAGAATATATAGGTAATGTCCATTAGGCGGATAGACACAATAAATAAAGATATATAGGGGATGTCCATTAGACGGATAGGAACAATAACTAAGAATATATAGGGGATGTCCATTAGGCGGATAGGAACAATTACTAAGAATATATAGTGGATGTCCATTAGACGGATAGGAATGATAACTAAGAATATATGGGGGATGTCCAGTAGACGGATAGGAACGATAACTAAGAATATATAGGGGATGTCCATTAGACGGATAGGATCGATAACTAAGGATATATAGTGGATGTCCATTAGACGGATAGGAACAATAACTAAGAATATATAGAGGATGTCCATTAGACGGATAACTAAGAATATATAGGGGATGTCCATTAGACGGATAGAACGATAACTAAGAATATATAGGGGATGTCCATTAGACGGATAGGAACAATAAAGGATATATAGGGGATAATAGGAACAATATATATATAGGGGATGTCCATTAGACGGATAGGAACAATAACTAAGGGTATAGAGTGGATGTCCATTAGGCCGATAGGAACAATAACTAAGAATATATAGGGGATGTCCATTAGGGGATAGGAACAATAATGTCCATTAGATGGATAGACACAATAACTAAAGATTTATAGGGGTTGTCCGTTAGACGGATTGAAACAATACCTAAGTATATAAAGGAGATATCCATTAGACGGATAGGAAAAATAAGTAAGTATATAATGGAGATGTCCATTAGATGGATAGGAACAATAACTAAGTATATATAGGGGTTGTCCATTAGACGGATAGGAACAATAACTAAGAATATATAGGGGATGTCAATTAGACGGATAGGAACAATAACTAAGGATATATAGGGGATGTCCATTTGGCGGATAGGAACAATAACTAAGATTAGACGGATAGGAACAATAACTAAAGATATATAGGGGATGTCCATTAGACGGATAGGAACAATAACTAAGGATATATAGGGGATGTCCATTAGGCGGATAGGAACAATAACTAAGAATATATAGGGGATGTCCATTAGATGGATAGAAACAATAACTAAAGATATATAGGGGATGTCCATTAGACGGATAGGAACAATAACTAAGTATACATAGGGGATGTCCAAAAGATGAATAGGAACAATAACTAAGGATATATAGGGAATATCCATTAGGCGGATAGGAATTGACTAAGGATATATATTGGATGTCCATTAGGCGGATAGGAATCATAACTAAGTATATACATTAGACGGATAGGAACAATAACTAATGATATATAGGGGATGTCTATTAGACGGATAGGAACAATAACTAAGAATATATAGGGGATGTCCATTAGACGGATAGGAACAATAACTAAGGATATATAGGAGATGTCCATTAGACGGATAGGAACAATAACTAATGATATATGGGGGATGTCCATTAGACGGATAGGAACAATAACTAAGAATATATAGGGGATGTCCATTAGACGGATAGGAACAATAACTAACGATATATAGGGGATGTCCATTAGACGGATAGGAACAATAACTAAGGATATATAGGGGATGTCCATTAGGCGGATAGGAACAATAACTAAGAATATATAGGGGATGTCCATTAGGCGGATAGGAACAATAACTAAGGATATATAGGGGATGTCCATTAGACGGATAGGAACAATAACTAAGAATATATAGGGGATGTCCATTAGACGGATAGAAACAATAACTAAGGATATATAGGGGATGTCCATTAGACGGATAGGAACAATAACTAAGGATATATAGGGGATGTCCATTAGACGGATAGGAACAATAACTAAGGATATATAGGGGATGTCCATTAGACGGATAGGAACAATAACTAAGGATATATAGGGGATGTCCATTAGGCGGATAGGAAGAACAACTAATGATATATAGGGGATGTCCATTAGACGGATAG